CTCTAAACAGATGATAAAAACAGAAGAGCTGGAGGCAGTCACCCAGCATGGAAAATGAGCTCAAATCCTGGAAAGTTATCAAACGGAACAGAAAATAGTCTTATAATGGGAAATGTCAGGCAACCCTAGCAAAAAGTGAAGCTTCCAGTCCCACCTGTAATCACCACCACTGCACTCTTAATAGGTTATCTACCATTATACACAGATGGTGAGAGAGATGGAGCAATCTTCTGCTGATGCTTGTGGTTATATATTTTGTTTAACAAAATGCTGAGGCAAATTAAGGGCACTCCTGGAGATTTCTCCTTTATCTCTTAAACATCACCTCACCCATCAGAGGGTGAGACTCAGCAGCCATAACAAACGGTGTAGAGACTCTTAAGAGAGATAAGAACTCCTGGTTTATGTTAGAGTTTTATATTACCTATTATTCAGAAAGATGATGCTAACTTTTATGTTTAAAGTCTGTTTCACATTAAAGTCTCTTACTGCAAACAACAAATAAAGTTTCTAAGAAATCTGTTTTGGACAAAACACAGAGGGAAAACAAAATCATCATATGCACAACCAGGGCATGATGAGAGATCATTTTGGAATAAGTTTGGTATAAACAGAATTTTATTTCTGAAAAACAAATTTAATAAGACATTTTAGAAAAGCCCTTTAGTGTTTTAAAATATATTGTGTTGTGCTCTGAGTGCTTCAAGGAGGTGCTTGGGTTGAAATCCATACTTCACCACAGTTGATACTCAAATATTAAGCTAAATGACACCGCTTTTCATAGTAAAGCTTTATTTAATTCCCCATAAAATTTTCACAAAAAAATTCTTCTATAATCATTTTGGAAATGTTTTCTTCTTTCAATATCGAAGAACGTAATTTACACCAATTACCTGTAGAAGTTCTTTATTACCTCTAGCTTGGTTTTTTCCATTTAAACATGAAAATTTTCATTTACTCCTTAGACATTTAAAGGTGGCTTAATCTCTTGAAGACCAATTTGCAAATATTTTTTCTATTTTCTATTAATGAGAACAGACAGCTAACAAAACAAATGCACGAAGATGCTCAAGGAAGAAAAGATCAGAGAAGCACATTTTCAACGTTGTTAAACCCTAACAAAGGTATAGCTTCCTTCTCAGTTAAATATCCAGAAGGGGAAAAAACAAAATCCAAATATTTTTTCTAGACTGAGCAAGCAAATGGACACATCCCTCACCTCATCACCACTTTTCCTGGTCTTTCTGCATGCAAACCACTAACTACCACACTCAGAGAGAGAACAAAGAACCACAAACCTGAGCTGGGAAGGAGCTGCTTTGGAATTCAGCACTGTTCTTTCATCATCGCCAGCAAAATGAAGTTGGCTTGAGCAGAGGCAAGTAGTCATACTCATTATGAAAAGAATTACATTCAGTCAGATATTAAAACATTACCCTTGCACAGTTTAAGACAGCAGCTTCTCCTGATAAACACCATAAAGCCTATGCTACTTCTTCCTGGAAATTAGAATAAATCCATATGATGAACTGAAAAATGCAATGAAAATTTAAGATGCTTGATATTATTTCATTTATTAATATTTAAAACTGGTCTTAGAACCGAGTAACTTTTATAGAGTAACCAACTCTCTGATTTCATACAGCTTGGGTAAGATCAGTCCTTTGTATCCACTGGAGTTAGCACAACATGTGACAGAATGCCCTTATTCTTAACACTATTTACTCCATTGAGAAACAGTTTAAGTAAGTTGGGTAAGATAAAAAAGTTCACAGTTCAGTTGCAGGAATATTCATACTTAAAACTGGCACCTTTCTAGTCCATGTACTGACCATTACTGGGTTTGGTTTTACAGTTTTCACTTAAATTGCAATGCTTTCTTTTTTTCTTCCCCAAGACACATCAAGACACCCAGGCAACTGCTACCTTGTCTCACAGCAGACATCATAGAAACAAGATCTGGCTGGTACTTTGTGGTTCTACAGAAAACTATTTTACTTTTTTTTAATAATACACTCAAGAAATTTTAAATACCTCTTCACAATCTCCATACTTCACCATCCAAACAGAACTGCAATGATTATATCACCTAAAGACCAGGAAAGTCAAGTCTGAGGAGCAGTCACAACACTGTGTGCAGTGTACAGACATACTAACAGAGTTAATATCATAGCTCAGGGTAGCCATGGGTTAACACCTTTTGAAGAAGGCAGAACTGCACAAAAACAAAAGAGCTATTGGGCTTTTAACCTGGCAGTATTTGCTAAACCAAAATCCTCAGTCGGAGCCACAACAGCAGCAACCTAGATATGTTGAAGTTGTGGTAACTCTGAAAGACACAAGCAGAAAAACCAGATGCCTCCTCCCAGATCATCAGCTGTAGTCCCATATCCTTCAAGTAACATCTCAGATCTCTTCCTGACAAAAAAAAATTCTTCTGTGTCTGAAGGGAAACTCCATCTGTCTTAAAGTTTAATTATACACCTCCGAGGCATTTTCTGATCCTAAATGCAATGCCTTTTAGGCAACCCCAAGTGCTCACATACTAAATAGCCCTGTCAGCCCAGAACAGCGGTTAGCCTGAGCTATGAGGAAAAACATCCTGCAGAAATGCCTAGGCTCAGGTTGGAGAGCTGCAAAAGAGTCATCGACAGTGTAAGTGCAAAAAGGTGAGGGGAATTCTTAGGCTAATTAGTGAATGAGACTTTAATAGGCAAGAAGATATAAAGGAACCCATTCTCTGCTCTCCTGGGACACATGCAGAACAGCAATCAGCGTGACACCAGCAATCTTTGTACGACATTTCTTCTGATTATTATGCAGAATGAAAGGGGCAAAGGAAAGTCAGGCCCAAGTTTAAAAAAGTTCTCTGCAAAGATGCCCCTGTAATGCTATTTTAACAGTGGTTTAACAGAGAACTATGCACTCACTAAAGTCAATTTGTTGGGTTAGGCTTCACTAATTACACTTCCCATAGAGGACTGACAAAAAAAGTTGAATCCCTTCAGTGGAATATTAATCTACCTGTTACATTACCTCCTGGAAACCCTTTCCCAGCACCTTTTGTCAGTAATAGTTCAGGTTCCTAATGTTAGAAAGGTTTATATTTCATTAGTTATCTTTATTACAAAAACTTTCACTGACAAACTTTGTCTTTTGGGAACTGAGGTCATAACCATATGGAAGACTTTCTCTTCACTATTATGAAAGTGACATTTCTGGATAACTACACATACAGAAAACCAGAACAAAAGTAAATTGGTTTTACCTCAGAAGGAAGTTGAAAGCATAAGAGATCAGCATCATTCTTCCAGCCACAAGTCAATTTTATTTTAGTGTGTGATAAAACAAGCTATTTCTTCCCTGTGTTTTCGGTTTGGGACTCTTCACACACATTTAATATTGCAATTCAAAAAACACAATCCTTACTTTAACAGTGAAGACAAGACTTTTCCTGGCCACTTTAGAGAGATTTAAATAGGACAGTGCAAGGTGAAGAAAAGAGTTGTGCAAAATTTGCCGACTGCATTTTGACCTAATTCTCTGAATTCTTGATTTTGAAGGGACTACACCACTGCTTGAACTCCCAGAGGCACAAATATCAAACTTCAGAAAACAAACCTTATCAACCATTAAACACTTCAGACTGCACAAGATTAAGAAGTGGGATTTTGATCCAAATCCTTCTTATGTTGAGGATCACTAATGCCAGCAGACGGTTTGCTCTCAGAATTAAGAAAGGTGAAATAACTAGCCAAATACAGTGCAGCAAAATCATTTTTAATTACTACTTCGGAAGAGCAGGCTTCCGATGCGCAGCCTTCCTTCTTACCCACCAGCTCAAAGGAACAGATCAGTTTGAAAAAGTAGGAAAAAGAAACATCTGATACTTTTTTTCTCACACATCTCATCAATGCCAAGACCTTTTCTACCCACACAAATATATTTTTTAATCAAAAGTACAACCAACTCAGTCATGAAGCTCAAAGCATGAGAAAGAACAAAGTCTGCATAAGAATAAAAAGAAAGGTTGGTGTCAGTCTCTTCTCCCAAGTAACAAGTGATGAGAGGAATCAGCCTCACATTGCACGAAGGGAGCTTTAGATTGGATATTAGAAAACATTTCTTCACCAAAAGGATCATCAGGCTGCCCAGGGAAGGGTTTGAGCAGCCATCCTTGGAGGTACTTAAAAGACACGTAGATGTGGTACTTAAGAGCATCACTTAGGGGGGGACTTGGCAGTACTGAGTTAATGGCTAGACTCAGTTTTACAGGCCTTTTCCAATCTAAATAATTCTATAATTCCATAACCCCTCTCCCTGGATACCTGAGGAACTGAAAAGCATGTCCTCTCAGAGACAGTGCACACTAGGGCAACCAGAAAACATGACATGGCAAAATACATATTAAGAAAAATTATCTCCTAGATTTTTTTTAAATGGAGATTCCACCCATACATCACCAGGAATCTCTTCTCTGGTGAAGAACTGCTTGCTAAACTGGATTTCAAACTAAAGAGTTGAGCCCACATCCCATTTTTATGTTAGATTTATGCCCCTTTTCTGTTGCCTATTCTTCAAATGCAGGAGCTCCTTATTGCTGACTTCACGGGGGAAGTCTCTTTGAAGGGCTCAATTTCTTTCCCAGGAGTCACACTGAATGTAAAGCAGAGCAGTGGCTACTCTAGCATCAACTGAGAAGAATCCAAGAACAAACACATTTCCCTTCATTTACTACACTTCCTCCTGTATTAAGTACCACAGTAACAAATTATCATATTTGGCTCTGTATTGGCCAAATTTGACAGTGACCCACCAGAAAGACAAAGGGTAAATTCGTTGGATGTACTCTGAGTGAAGAAAAACATTTGAATAGAGAAAAGCGGACCTGCACAGGTGAGGGTTTCATGCAGAACCCACTGAAGTAGAGGGATAATGTCCTACAGACCCATTTGGCCCTGGGCTCCATCTCTAAATGGCTGCATAGAAAAAGGAGCACTTCGGTAATTATTTGAAGTTACATTTGAAGATGCCTCAGTGAGCACTTCCAACGCAAGTGCCTTATCACCTTCCCAGCATGCCTGCTGGGGGACCAACACAAAGCCAGCCATGGAAAAGGAAGCCTGAAGGGTTTCATAAGCACAGACATCTTTTACAACTGAGGAATAAAATTGAATCAATGCTATTCTGAAGCCTCTTCTTTTAGCTCTGGCAACTTCAACTGTCGCGTAAGATTTCAAATGATACTGCTCATGCTACGTGCTGTAGAGACGCAAGTGTGACCTTGAGCATGCAATATTTCTTTCACACACTGCTGATTGCATCAAACAAGCCGACCAACACTCCCCCTCCACACACTGCAGCCAGAGAACTCAAATCTGTACGGGATACTAACAAATAGCTCAATGCTATGGAAGGTGAATCCTATTTGGGTGCATGATAGAAAAACTGTTGTAAAGTAATTGCTGAATGTCAGCTTTAAACTCAAAAAGTGTAGTGTAGATAAATAAAAACAATAAATCTAAAAGAAATATTAAAAAAAAAAGTATTCTTACCAAATACAAACGAGTCTTTCAAGTGATTATAAATATAATTGGTGAGTTGTGAAGGCTATAAATTCTTCCCAGGGTTCTGGGACTATCATAATAAACCACAAAACATATGTGGGATATGATGTCACCTTTGCCGTGAAATGTATTGATAGCCCAGTTCAATGTGTTCCCATATTTATGTTTTTATAATACATCGTTGCAACCACAAATTTTAATGGAAAAACAGTTTTATTTAGCAGAGAAATAGAGGTCTCTCTCCTAGCACTTATAAACTGCATACCTCAACTTTTACATTATCCAGAAAGGATTGTCAATACAACAATACAATGCGTAATGATACAAGGTCTTGCTGACAGCATATGAAACCCTTTATAGTTAGCCCTGGAGTACACAAATGAAAAAATGCCTAGGCCAGCATGGCTGAGGCCTCTGTTTATTCTTCTTTTCTGTTCTAAACTTCCCTCTGAGCCCTGCAGAGTGCGGAACCTATCCATACCCTTCCAGGCAGTCCTCTCTTCAGTTTGCTGCAACAGCACAGCATCTCCTATTTTGTAGGTATTTAGTACACTGTTATCAAAGCAAATTGCTTCTAGTTATTTATGTTTTAAGTGCTGCTGTAGCATAATTATTTTTTCATAGGTGAACCCCAGTAAACTTTTACCCAGGCTTCTCACTTCCCTTTCACCAGCATAGCAAATCTTACCTACTAATTAAAACCAGGGTATGCCAATTAGCTTGCACTTTTTGTAATAAGATAGGGGTTTTTTTTCTTGCTTCCTTATTACCTCATTAGGAGACTATAAAGTTGCATGACCTTCACCGTCAACAGCTCCACCTTCTGCAGTAGGAAAAACAGACTCCTTTTCCCACAGCCAGTCCACATACCATAAACATCAAATCCAGATCAGTAACAAGTCGTTGACAACTGACACCTTGCTGCTTCTGTTTTGTGCCTGTTTCTGGCTGTAGGCTGTATTGCAATAAAGAGCAGCAAATATTCCGGTTTCCCTCCTCTTCTTTGTAACCTCAGAGCAGTTCATCCCCAATTCACAATTCCCAGCCTCTTGGTTCAAATTCTATCTAAGCGTAGCTGATCTCAGTATTAGAGAGCATGTTTGAGGAAATGAGGGAGTACAAGCTCTTTCTAAAGTTTCCAATTGCTGGGAAAGCAATGGAAATTTTTCTTTTCTCTGTACATAACTTGAGGGACAAGTATACTATCTGACCCATAATATCAAAATGGTTTTGAACTCTCTAATGCTAAGGCACTTATCAACTGTGGGGCTTCCATGCCCTTCAAAAATTATCTCTTGCTATACACTGAGCATGATGCTTCTACCTATTTATTCTACATAGCTGTTTTCCAAGAAACACCCTTCCAATCTCAGACCTTGCTCCCAGGCAATGGGATACAGCCAAAGCCAGACTCATCTTCAAACCATAAGACAAGATTCACATGCACATCCAGATATGTCCCTGTGAGAACTTTATTTTTTTAAAAACAGCTAAATTCTGACATCTGATTCTACTATATACATTGTGACCGGATTTGCACGGCTTCACACATCCTGTGAACATCACCACGGCCAAGCATGTTGAATAAAATGAAATACATGTATTTCTTACTAGGTCCGTAGCAATGAATCCAATTACTCATACCAAAAATACATGTTCATGTGGCAAAAGGAAACAAGGGTGAATATTGCAGTTAGGATGTTGCACCCACAGATTACAAGATTTTTATAGCATCATAACTGCAAATTAGATTTTTTTTTTCTGCTGCTTCTGGTCAGCTAATTGGATGGGGTATCCATTATAACACTCTATTATGACTATATCATTTGTCTTAACAGTTTCAATGCCCTTGTCTAAAGCTCCATCACTGTATAGCAGCTGGTCCAGACAGAACTGTTCATTTAACAAAATGATCTCAGAAGCTACTAGTTAGTAGTCTGAGTCCTTCACTGAGAGACCCAACACTGCTCTCAAACATTCTTTCTCAATATACACATGGGGTTTTTTTTTTTCTTCCTCTCAGACCCGTTTGTCCCCAAATTTCGGACATTAATTTTTCCAAAATCATGACTTTTACACAGTGATTCTTATTGACAGACTTCCACTATGCCATAGCATAGAAAATTCCTGAAGAAGTTATCATGCCAGTAATAAACACATCTGTAAACAAAAGATGGTCCTAAATTACAACAGCAGGTCTGAATACTCTCTAGTTTTAGAGCCAAGCCCAAACGTGTCTGAATTTTACAAATGGTTCCTCTATTAATCAACATTCCCATCCTACATGTTGTTAAACCTTCTTACGTTCTCACCAGCTGACTACTGAAGTTTATGTATGATCAGTTAGCAAAGTTAAATGAAGGTGAATGATTATACCTCTAAAAAACAGGTGAGGTTCTGGAGGAAGTCTCATCATCAACATGCCCTTCCCTGAATAAAAGCATCCTTCTACCACTGAGGTAGTGACTTGTCCCCAGAGATGCCACTCCTAAAAGAAATGTGCAGGAGAATTTGCAGGTAGCTGTGACAGTACAACCACATAACATTTCTCAAATTAATTTACCCTGCTCAGACTCCACAGCTGCAATGGGTTTTGTGCCTCTTTACTGGGCTAGATCATTGTAAACCCTTTAGCCTGAGAACCTAGCTCATGTTTCAAGACTTCTCAGCTTGTTTCTTAGCCTGCTAGGTGGAACTGTATGCACACAAGTACCCTTTGCTACAACCTCGTTTGTTTACAAAGAGTGTAAACACAATCCTACACAGTAGATATCAATGACAGAGCTCCAAGGTGGATGAGCCTGGGGCATGAAGGCACAACTAAAGAGCAACCAGTTCCTTCTCACCACTCCTGCTCTGAGTTTGTAATAAGTCCCAGAGAAACCCCTCATCTAGCATACATTATGGTGAGGTTTTCAAACCTCACTGCTACTAGAAAGCATACCCTTATTCCCCTGGTCTTTGAGGTGGCCCAATCAATTTCCCATCTGAAAGTGAAACCTTCCCCCTAGACTACCAGCTCTCAGCCATGCCAACTCACCTCTGGGCTGCACAGGTGCATAAAAGTGAAAAGCAGCAGGGGACAGGACCATCCACCCGTCTCTTTGTTTTTATCCCCTTTCTTTAACGTAGCCATCAACCTGTATCCTCAGCATCTGATGAACCCCATGCTCCCTGGTCCATTTCCAATGGAGACCTTGCAGCTCCCTCCAGTGCTCACTGCACATAGGAATGTGTATTCCTTCCTTTGCTTCCTCTACTTTCCTGGAAGCAAAGGGGTTCAGGAGTAACATCACCTTCAGCAAAACCTACAACAGCCTGTTGATCAATGACCCGCTCAATGGCAGCCATTATCTCCTCTCCAAATAGCTTTATTATTTTATACACGCAATAGTGCTGCTGTTAAGCAGCTTGTGGTTCACTCTGGAGGGGATTGTCCTCTGGTGGTGGTTTCTGTGGCATGGTCTTGTATAAATAAAGATCATGGTCATCTTAGGGAACTCTTCTCAAGCTGTGGCAAATATTTTGCCACGGGACAGCCTTTAAAAACTGTTTGGGCAGCTAACACTGATTGTAACCCATCCTACCAAAATAGGGAAAGGCCTTGAACTGTTTCTCACTGTTTTATTCTCTCACCCAAAGCTGCATTTAATCAGTGTTATTTCCAGGATTTACTAAGATTTTGCTGCCTCAAGAGAGCTTACAACTCAGGAGAAAACTTGGCAACTTAGAAGAAAACATTCCATGTATTATGTAAAGCTATTCTTAGCACACGCATGTAATTTCTAAGAAGCATAAATCACTGTGTTTTAAAGTACATAAGAAAACTGGTAATCTAATAGTAAGTTTTTACCTTGCCAGTCTAAGGCACATAAGTTCATGTCAAACTGTGCACATTTCTCAGTAGGAATCTGATGTTCTCGGGGATCAAGGACAAGCGTAGAACTTGTGTGCAGAAATCACATAAACAGGGGCATGTTCAGATTGTCATGCCTAAGTACATTTGTTCTCTTGAACAAAGTGGTTATCATCACTGGGTCATCTCCAGTGAACAGCCACACGGATGTAGTGGTAGGACACACACAGGTTACAGAATGACAGTGCCCCTTCACAACCTCAGCTGCCAGAAAACAAAGCATACCCAGCTAGGCATTGCACACGAGGCTTTAAGAGGAGTACTGAAGAAAATAATCATGAAAGAACTACCAAGGCAAATGTTACCTTAAAAATTTAGTGCAGACTGACTTCCTCTTATGAACTCCTTCTTTACTGAATTTATGTATAGATAGCTAGACAACTTCCCTGTCACAAGAGACTGACAGGCGAGAAGGCACCCATCTGAGCAGACTGCTCACCTATTCTTATTCTAAGAACCTAAAGCGCTCAGAACGATTTCATATACAAGGGCTATGAATATGAGCCTCTCACGGCTGACAAATGCCTCTTCCTTTGTGCTCTTGGTCCCATATTAACAGAATATTTTTATCTTGAGGGCAGACTCATTTACTGTCATGAAGTCCACGCAGCCTGTGGCAAATTGCACCATGTGTGTAGACCGCAAAAGCAAGGCATCATGCTTACGGGGCCAATTACATGAGATGAATGGAGCTTGAATGCCCAGACCAGAGCTGAAGACAGACAGGCTATCTGATTAAACAAACCATTAAGGATGAGCCATATTTTAAAATGCCCCCCACACGCACCTTTTTAACTTTTCACTTCAATTGCAATTTTTTATCTGGAAGTTGGGGAAAAACCTAGGTAGCCACAGTAGATGTATATTATGGGGAGTATGCTGAAGGTGACAGTTATAAACACACTGTCTCCACAAAAACACTTCATTTACAAAACAGATTTGACAGCTCAGTTTGTTTGCAATGCAGAGCACTCCTCCCAAACCCCCACATGGCCCTGTGAGCCTTGATTACTTCTTTGATGCCAGCTCTTCCATAGAGACCTCTGAAATGGAAGTGATGAATGAGGTCCTGTCAGGCGCCATTCCCTGGGTGGCCTTGAATCCATACAGTTATCTGTTACGCTGCCAGCCCTGACAGTGATGAACACAATGCAGGCAGCTGACAACACCCCTATTCATTACAAAAAAAAAAAAAAAAAAAAAAGAAAATAAAAGAAAGAGATAGATGGAAAGAGGTTTGTTTGCCAGCCTTCAATGCTCTACTCATCTACATTTCCTTCAGAGGACTTGCTTGGGAAGGATATGATGAAGTCTGTTTATACAGTTATGTGGAGCAGGAGATCCAATGTCCCCCAGTTCCATCCAGTAAGGCTGAACAAACCGCTCAGATGCTGGCATTTCTTTTTCTTTTATTCCTTTAATTATCTGCAGTTCACATTTATTGCAGACATGCATTCTGATGAGGCTGCACAATGGCCACAGAGCAGTCTGATGACACTTTCATGTATCACTGACATGGTGTTTCTACTAACCGAAGAAGTATCTTGCAAAAGGATGAAAGCGGAGAAGAACTGCTAGCCTGATTTGCTGCAATTAGGGCAGATTACAGAGCTGCCTTGTTTTCTCCATAATCCTAACTTGGGAGGAAAGGTTCCTACATGTAAGTTGATCCCATGGGTATTCTCTCATTTTGCCTCCAGCAGCTTGCCCGAACAACTCAGTGCCCTGCTTGCTGGCTTGTATCAGCACAACTGACCCATATGAGCTCACAAGTTTCTTCATTAATGGAAGCTGGCAACGCGATGTATATTGCCTTCTAGAGCCATCATGCTCTTCTGAAACTACAGACCAAGAGACACAAAATGTTCAGACCTACAACACACAGAGCTTTGTCATCTTTTACCCACATAGATGCTGCCTCACCTCACTCTTCCCTTGCATACTCCTCAAATTCAAATTCAGTCACACATGCCTGAATTTATAACTTAAAATGCACACCACAGCACTCACATTCCAGAGACACAAGAGTCTTACATGTAAAACAGGATAAAAAAAAAAAAAAAAAGTTAGCTCTAAACCACTTATGAAAGACAGCTAGAAGTTGGGGTTTTTTTGCTTTTAAACCAAAAATTTTCTTCTGTGGCATCTTTTCATTTGCCACCACTAGCACACATAAAACCCAAAACTTAGAATGTTTTATTTAAAAAAAGAACAACCTGGGTTATTTCCTGTCCTCATTATGACTCAGATCTGCCAGGCTCTCTCTCACATACTGTACCACAGAAAACTTATATTACACTGGAAAAGGAGGCACTGCAAAATAATTCCAGAGCAAATATCATTTCAAACAAATGCTTTACTCTGATTTTGCTCAGAGCTCACAATTCTGATATGAAGTTTAAATTAAATTATTTTGCTTATTTTCCCAGAAGGGAGAACCTTCATAATGTTGGATTTACCCAACTGATAATAACCATTTAAATGAAGGCATTTACTTTTAATCAGGTACCTGAGCTCTGCCTATAGTCATGGGAAAGAAAAAATCTCTAAAAGCAAATTGCATCTTAGAAGCCATTTTACCTTAGAAACCAGTCTTTAGATAGACCAATCCCTTCAGATTCTCTTGTCGTCATCTACTATTGAGGGAGCGATATTACCTATTGTAGACTAGATGCCTAAGTTTGTTTAATAGTGAGATGTCAAAGTAATGAGTAACATACTGCAGACACCTTTCCTTTCTTGTCTCACATCTAGGTATTAAAACTATGAGCCAGCTAATAAAAACAATGCTTTATTTCAGGAAGTAACTGCTTCTTCATTTACAAAAGTTATGACAGTTCTTGAAAATTCTGTTTAAAAGCAGAATATTTCCTGCATAGAAAGTAACTGCTCTGCTTCTCCTGTTGTTGCAGGACAGCCCTTCAGGCAAATGTTGTGGAAGAAATACAATACAGAAAATACAGAGAAATTTTTGCAGAGACAATGCAAAAGATCGAGTGGCAAGATAATCTGTACACTGACAGTTTTAATTTTATTTCTTTTAATTATTTTTTTATTTAGTCCACCAACACATACTTCGGCTGTAATCATCTCACAGATAGAACACCCACAAAAAGCTAAGACTATAAATTAGTGGTTATTCATGTATATCTCAATACCTCCCTCTGCTGAGCTTACACAAACCACTTGGTAAAACCTGATAACCTTGGTAAAACCTAATCTAATCTAATACAAAACTCAACTTTTATTCAGATAGACTGGTGCTTAAACATTTATGATAAAACAAGGTTTCATACATCCTGGAGACATACAGGTTCAGCCCTCCCTGCTGACACAACTGCTGCAACACCTCATAAGGAAGGGCTGTCTTCGTAGCAGGCAGCCCCCAAGCTGTACAAGCCTGGGACAGATTTGTCCTACAAATTATAGGATCCAATGTTGTGCCCACAGCAAGGACTCCATTTCCTGCACAGATTTAAAATCCTCTCTTATTTAAGGCATATGACAAGAAAAAAAGCAGAAATCCACAAGATCTGTGCTGCTAAGTACATAGTACAGAGGATGTTTGCCAC